TGACTTTTCATCCAGCCAAATACCTGCAAAACTAAATAGCACTCCCATCAGTCTCAGCTGTACTTTGTGTCTAGTGCTAATTAGCAAATGTTAGCATGTTAACATACTAAACTAAGATGTGAATATGGTAAACATTATACCTGCTAACCATCAGCATGTTAGACTTGTTGTCGTGAGCAGGTCGCCATGGAGAGTTTTATTTAGCAGCCTGACTGTTTAGAGGAAAAAACAAACTACGTCGACAGGGGGAGCTCAAAGCAAAGCTCAGCCGTACACACCACCATCTTGGCATTGATGCAAAGTGCTGACCAGTCTGTGATAGGAGAGATCACAGACTGCTCAGTCTATATCTAAATCCTTTCTGGCAATATTAGGGATAGGATGCACAACATTTAGATTCAAACCTACACCTATGGACAAAATACAACCAGTCCTCCAACTTGAACAACTATACAGGTCGTTTTTTTCAACCCTCTGTGTTGTGAAGATCGGGTTTAGAGGAGGAGCTGCTTCAGGAGAAGCAGGAGGAGGGGCTGGAGGAATCAGAGGTCATAAGAAGGATGGACTATAGGTGCAAACTCTTTTGTCTACCTGCAGCAGAACCCTGGGTTCTCCTGGTCACAGGTGTTTGACTGAGTGTAATGTGAGTTCTTTGTTGTTTAAACCTTGCAATATACGATTATTAGTTATGTTCAAGTTATATTGCTAGTTGCTTTATATCATGACTCTCTAAGCTTATATATTTTTGAGGGAATTAATTCATGATTCATATTTTCTGTCTGGCAATAAAACGAGCAACCATTGTCGGCCATCTCTCTGTTCCCTGTATAAATGACCTAGAAAGACTGCATATAAACATGGAAAGATTGGAATTGTACTGCTACTTCTCCTGGTGTCTCACTGCGCCTGACCTCAAACCGACTGTGTTCACATTACCTGGAAACCAGTACCACCACCACCATACCAGTAATATCAAGCCTCATTAACACTCTGATACGACCCATAGGCGTGTCTCTTGAAATAGGGACTTTATGCAGCGACGGCTTTGGCATGATGTGATGACGTAGACTCTATGTTCAAACTTCTTACCGTTGCAGCCCAACTGTTGAATCACTATGCACATATGAATGTAGCTGAACTACCAGCAAGTTACCGCAAAATGTAGTTAAACTAATTACATGTAGTTCACTACTCCGTTTTTTTTAATACCATATATACATAAAAAAAACAAACAAATGTATTTTAAATGTTATCTCCCGAAATGAACTTGCGATCACAGTGAGGGGCCACAGCTGATGATTTGAATGTGGTGGAGGTGGAGTTCAGCTCTGGCCACGTTTAATACGCCTCTTTGCCCCGGTTCCCTCCTCAGACGTCAGGCAGCTCTGCTGAGGCACCAGCTGATGAGATAAAACTGTAGAGAAGACAAAGTAAAGATGATCTGCTTTCTCTTTTTCTCTTGCCTTGCAGGTAATGACAAAGACCTTCTGTTGAAGATGTGAATTCTTTCTCTCATCCATCACAAAATGAAAAATAAATGTCTTTCTGTATGCAGGTGGCTGTCTGAGTGTTGAGGTCCATCAGACTCCCCCTGCTCTAATCCGAAGCCTCGGGGACAAAGTGCAGCTTGTCTGCACCCATGGACAAACTGACTACAGGGTGATGCTGTGGTACCAGCAGCCACCTGGACAGACAGAAATTAAACTCATTGGATATTTAAACTACTATGAAGTGAAAATGGAAAAGCCATATGAACAGCACTTTAGCATCCATGGAGATCTGAGTAAGAATGACGCAAAAAATGTTTCTCTCATATTCAGTCTGACTGGAGATGAGGACAGCGCAGTGTATTACTGTGCAGCGAGGTATGCACATTAATACAAAGTGTCTCTGCTCGCTACAAAAACTCGATACTATCTTTCAGCAGTGGTGGTTTCTTACATGACACAGCAGGCACCTGTTTCGGTGGTTGTAATTTCACTTGATATCCTGTCACCATTGGCTAATGCTATTCTGTTCTGTGGGTTTAAATATTGTGAGTGCAATGTGTGAATCTGAGTCCCTATATCAAGAGTGATAATGCCATATATGTTAACTATAAGGGCATTCAGAAGATATAAGTTTATAACATATATGAAATACCCATAGTAAAATTTGCATTAAATTATGTGACATGTTTACAAGATAAGCATATATACATAAACATAGATACCTGAATGGCTAGAAATATGTGAATATATATAAATTATTCAAATTTCAAATAGGTTTTATATTTTTTTTTTACATATTCATTTTATGTGTACATATATTTCCTATATGGAAATTCAGTATATGTACATATATTATATTTGTGTATGGGAAGGTCCATGTAAAGACTCAAGTGGAACAGGAACACATTTTTCTCTTTGACCAACAAGCATGTGAACAACAGTTTCTGACATAACTTCACCTGCTACTAAGGTGCGTGGAGAAGGGGAAAAAAGTCAAAAGAGGTCAAATCTCCAGCACTTGTAGCATACAGAATAACTTTATTGCTAGACCACACTTACGTGCTGCAAGGGAGGTAGCCTACATTACATGAGTCACACATCTTTTCATCATGTGATGCCTGCTGCCTGCACCGTCTCACTTCCTCTCCTGCTTCAGACACATACGGTGAAGAGTTCTCGTCCCTCAGCAGAAGCCATGCTCAACATGAAAACTGTTGTGATTGCAGTTATAATTCCACTGTTCTGGGTCGGAGGTACATCAAGTGATTCATTGTTGCTTCAACACTAAATTTGACCATGTGACTTCTGCTGGATTAACATTCTTCATTGTCTGTTCCTTCCTGCAGGAATATCACCAAATAAACATGTTCATCAGACTCCAGCTGATCTGATCGGCAACATCAACGATGAAGTCAAACTGACCTGCAAACACAACATCAACAGCTATTACGCTGTTCTGTGGTTTCATCGCCCTGGAGGAGACACTTCTTTAAAGCTAGTGGGTTTTTCAGCTCATACAAGTGTTCACGTTGTTGAAGACCCCTATCAGCATAGCTTCAATGTCAGTGGAAATGGTAACAGCAAGGCATTCCTTCATCTCCTCAAACTGCGACATCCCAGAGACAGTGGGCATTATTTCTGTGCAGCCTCGCACTGTGATAGAAAAGCCCCAAATTCTGCTACAAAAACCCTCATTTTTACCCTGCACACCTGCAGCAAACCACATGAACACAGAGTCAACTCAACAGTGGGAGGAGCTGAAGAGGAAATAGACATGAAAACACAACGAGACAGACAGAGTTGATAGAAGATCAACTGACTGCTACTACTGTCTTCATATCCAAACAAGTTCGTCAGAGTTTACAGCTGATTCTTCACATTCAACATGATCTGGCTTCATCTCATCATACCCATTATCATCTGTATGAAAGGTATTCAGAAATCCACCTTGTCCTTTATAATCTTGATTTAGCCCTGGACGAAGAAAATGGAATATTTGACACTTATTGATCACCTTAATTGGTACCACTTTCTACCTACAATAGAGGGATTATAAGGTATAACTAATGGCTTTATTAATCACATTTATTTATTTGTTTATTAGTGGTTTATAGATTAGCTTTTGGGTTGCTAGCAAGACACTTACTTTGTCTTTTTTAACTAGCTCCTCTACTGGACTGTCTGATCTTTCTGGAAAATAACGAATCATTTCATTAAGAAATTTTTCAAATTGCTTCACTCATTTCACATTTTGTTCTGTTGCTGGCTGGGTCACTCAAGGAGTCGTCCCAAAGTCACTCCTGAGTTGTCTTGGCTGTGTGCTTAAGAAACATGTAATAAAGTCCTCTCTTCATCTCTCTACAGGAGTTTCCCTCAGTAAAGAAATGCGAGTGCTTCAGACTCCAGCTGAACTGCTGAGGCCGCTGAAAGATTCAGTCAAATTAGAGTGCACACACAAAAACCCAGACTTTAACACTTTTCTTTGGTATCAGCGTTCAAAGGGAGAAACTGCCCTGAAGCTCATTGGCTACATTTATTACAAAACTCAATTTATTGAGCCGTCGTTTAGAGGCCACTTTAATGTGAGCGTTGACAGAGGGAACATGGTGTATCTCCACATCCAAAGCCTGAAACACCCTGAACACAGCGCAGAGTACTTTGCTGCAGCGCGTTCAGCACCATGATGAAAATAGCTCCTCTCTTTTACAAAAACCATGATGATCCGTTAGATATTAACACACCAGCGTGAAACCACAGTCACAAAGCATCTGTCCTTTAACAGAATGTCAGTTTTACAGAACTTTGTATATTTAGTGAAGAGGAGAGAATTATAATGATATCATTAAAGATGATGAGAGTCGCTTCATGTTTGGGAAGCTAAAACAAGATGATTTTCATCATTAAAATGACTCAGCTGCTTGTCTACATATTAAAATAAAATCAATACATTTATCTTTCATCTAACAAAAATTTTAATGACGGTAGCCTACTCTGTTTTTAATCTTTCATACATTCTTCTTGTCTATCTGTTACTTCATTAATTAGTGAAATGAGAAAACCTAAAATAAAATATATGAAGCCAGAGACTTTAAAAAAAAAAAAAGGTTGCATGTTAGAAAGTTTTGGGACACAATGTTGATAAATGGCTCTGTCATAACATTTTGCTGCACCTTTATTATGTGTATATTTAAAGTATATACAATAAACATCTGATCACAAAAGAAGTAGTTTGTTTTTGGCTAATGATGTCACCAAGTGCCGGCAGTGAGAAAAAAATGGACTGAAAAGACACAGGATTCAGCGGGACCATGTTTGACCCAATCAGAATTAAGCCAGATATTTCACTAATTATAACAAAGAATAAAGAATGAATCCATCACAGATTAGATTCAGCCAACAGATGGAGGCAGGTTTTACATGTGGTGACGAATTAGCACCTCCCCAATACAAAAATACACACTCTTATTCACTCAGAGCAAAACCATGTTCTTCAGACAGCAGAACGTGACAATGTCTTTGTTCATGTACACATTTTGTTTTCTCTTCATCTTGTTTCCAGGTAAGAGCTTAAATCTGAACAGATTCTTTAAAGTATCGGATATAAACCTTTTCTCCTTATCTGCTCCACTTTATCTAAATTGCCCACAGGTCAGGTCAACAGCATCACGTTACATCAAAGTCTTCCTCAGATAGTGGAAGAGGGTGCTGAGGTCCACATCGGCTGCAGCCATAATGACAGCGACCTCCCGATAATGCTGTGGTACCAGCAAAGAGAGGACAGTCAGTCTATGACCCTCATTGTGTTTGGATATGCAACAGAAGCCCCGAATTACGAGGGAAAGTTCAAGGAGCAGTTTGAGCTGAGAAAAGAAAGCGCAGTGAAAGGAGATCTGATCATTCGCAGAGCAAACCTGTCCCACTCGGCTGTGTATCTGTGCGCTGCCAGGGCACAGTGATGCAGTGTAATGACACTCCCTCACAAAAAACCCCTTAGTGTGTTTTTCCTTCAGCTGTCATGACTGAGGATGTGCAGCTGAAAAGCAGGAGTCTCAGTCTGATTAGATGAAGCTGTGTTTCTCCAGGGATCTGACTTTTTCTTCTTTTCTTGTTTACACACGTTTCTTTAAAATGAAGTAAGATCAAAGAAATTAAGAGTCACACAGCAATATTTAAAAATGTTTTAAAATTTAAAGAATGTATCATCCATATGTTGGATCTCAATCCACAGATCAAGTCAAGACTGTGACATTTCAGCCGTCTCAGCCCAGAGTGGAAAGGGTAATTTAGTTTCTGTGTGATGCTCTGGTACCAGTAAATAGAGAAGGAACTGATGGGATACAGCTATGATGTCAATCCGCCTGACTGTGAGAAGCAGTTTACACATCACATGGAAAATTAAAATGTCCGAAAGCAGGGTGCAATATCTGCACAGGTAATTGTAAACAACATAAAATACTTCTAGTTTACCTGAACCCAACCTAAACATCCCACCATACACTCACCCATAACTTGGTTTCCCCTCTCCTGAAGGAATCTGAACTATAATACACATTTTAGTGTGTAAGTTGGTTTCCGGCTGCTGTTTGACTTGAAGAAAAAATATTGTTAGAGCTTTTTTCTATTTGATGGAGTCTGAATGATTTGGCTCCTCTCATCAAAGAAAATGTGTGGATAAACAACACGTTAAAAAGAAACAAATTCATAAAGTAACAAAACTGCTTCCCTCTCAGTACCCTGATGTTTCTGCAGAACCACAGAGCTGATCAGACAGATAAGTCCACAGGTGTTATTATAGAGGTTGTCAGTCCCTACAAACTGCTCTAGATGATCTTTTATTTCGCTCTTAGGCTTTAATTATTTTTGCTGCCTAAGAAGATAAAACTAATTTCTTTCTGTAATTGGAAGGAAAGAACAAGTTTAAGAGTTAATCATATGCTGACCTCTACAGGGTACATTTCGCATTACATATTAAAAAATCATAATTTTGTAGTAAGCTTTGACTCACATTAGATAATCAATATACCAAAGTGTAATGAAAAAACAGCCATTATGTGAGTTAAACATACTAAAAACTGTTAAATATTCCTGTGTAAGAGTAAAACATTATAGCATAGCATATCATTGCATGACTGCAATGATAATAGTAATATAATAACTACGTGCATTTATGTTATGAGTAAGGCATATTTAGTCAGCATTATTACATCATTCATTAATAATGTTGTACTTATCTTATGATATCTTATATGCTTGATGTGATAACATGATCTTATGTAATTTATTGTAAGAATTATCATTACATTTCAGGAGTCCATAGAAGAAATAGGAAATAAGACATACATACATAAGACAATAAATGATAAACGTCTAATTGGCCTGAATGTAGTGTTGGAGGAAAGCATGTAGTGTTCAATATTGAAAGAAGTTAATCTTTTGGAGAGCATGAATGTGTTTAATATACATCTTGGCAATCTCTCTGACTAAACTGGTGTAACCCCCTGGGTTATTTTGTTCATAAACCCTAGGATATTGTCCTTTATATTCAATTTGCACCGTTATGTAATATTCTATAATATGTTATACAGTGTTTAAATGTGCGTATCCATTTACATGGGGAGTAGTGTAAATTACCACGACATTGAATACAACATAAAAAGTTTGTTTGTAAGGTACAGTCGTCTTCACGCTGTGAAAAGAGTGAGAAAACCTAACTGTTTATTTTATTCTCACATACTAAAGTGCTATGTCGTATCCTACCTTTCTATTGGTCAGTTGTAAAGCAACGTCAAGTTCCTTGGTTACTGATTGGTCAGGGGACGGGAGTACAGCAAGCCGCGGGACGTATGTGTGTTTGAGAGCAGTTGACGAGAAGCAGCTGCCTCTTTGACACTTGGCTAAAGAGCGGAGAGGAAAGGCTAACAGTTAAATCTATCAAAGAGGTGTTACGGTTGTCAGTGTGCTTCAGAGTGTAGTATGGACATTACGAAGCTCAGCGAGTTAAAGCAAACTTTTTGATTAACTACCGCGTTTTCAGCTTGTCGAAATAAGTGTGTTTGGTCTGAGTTAGGAGCGGCTAAGCTAGCGCTCACGTTCAGCTTGAGTGCTAACCGCTCGCTAGCACATCGGTGGATATCATCAGCCCGACATTGAGCGACAGGAGACCACATAGCGCACTGGGTGACCAGGCAAAACCCAGGTGTCCCTCTGGCTACAATGGAGGAGAGAACATCTTCATCCACGGTCAAGAACTGGTGACTCGCTTTCTTAAGACAGAGGTAAACTGGACTGTGGTGAGTAACCCTGTTATGAAGTGCGGCCACAGTCAGGGGCCTTCATCTTTAAGGAGGCTCAACGCACACCAGCCGAGAACAAGCCTGCACTGGGAGGCTTAACTTTATTTCACTGCCATCTTTTTGTTTTTTGTCATAGTGTTGGCTCCCAAATATTGAATGTGTTGTTTTATGGTTTGAATGTTTAATTATGTAGTTAAACGTACCTGTAGAATTACTAAAAGTAAAACAGAAGTTAAAGGAGTCAAAGAGCAATTATGGAGTAACAATAATTGAAGGGAATAGTGTTTTAGGTTAGTCACTGTATCTTACAACTGAGAGGATAAAGAGGTGTGACCAGGAAAGACGTCACTTCCTCTGTGCTGCTACTCCTTCTTGCTTCTTGTTTTGGCCTCACAGAAAAAGCATCAGTCAGGCTGCATGGAGCTCACCTCAGCCATCAGTCGGCCCAACCCGCACAGCTGCTCTGACAGACAGATGGAGAAAGATGGAGGCTGAGATATGAAGAGGCCGGGCAAGGGGAACGGGGGCTAAGAGAAGTCTTAGAAGGTTTTTGTGTGGTGCTTTTTCACTGTGGGGACGGGGGGGGCACGGTGATACAATCAAATGGAGCCGCTGTACAAAAACCTCCTGTGTTTAAAATGCTTAGTTTGGAGCACAAAAGTCAACTGTGACAATTGGCAAAAAATAGAAACATAAGTGTTTTAAAAAGCGAAGGATGCCTCACTCTTCTGGCACTGGACAAACCTAAATTTTGGTGGGAAATTTGCTTGGAAAAAAATAAAATCCAACCCACCCTTTGGGCTTTATCCACTCATCGTAAAGAAAACAGCAAACCAGGACATTCTGGACATTTTCTATGCTGAAACTACAGTAATGTCATGAGCCATTTTCCAAGAACCAGTTTTACCACTTTTTGTTAGAGGATGCAATCAATGTGACACTGGGGCTGAAGCTTACTTTGGAAGTGGAACTAAACTGACTGTTCAAGGTAAGTCTGAGCTTCATCATGACCAATATTAACCTTATCAGGTTGTGACCACTTTAGCTGAATGTTTTCAGTCTAATATTGCATTGTGAGATTTTGGAAATGTCTAGAGATTCTCACAGAACAAAGCAAATGTGTAAAGATGATTTGGTGATAGGGATTCATGATCAGTACTTCTACGTTTTTTCTAAGTTTTTGGTAGATGTAGGTAAATAAAGGTTGAATTATTGTAATAAGAACTGTCCATACTTGGTGCTCTGTAGTTCTCGTTCAGCTCGATGCTTTTTGATATCAGTCTAGCACTGTGCCTACTATGAAGCCTATTTTGGGCCGGGCACAAAACTGACTGTTCTTGGTGAGTAACGTCAAATTTTCATTTAATGAATTAATGCATGAAGAAAAATATTATATATGCGAGTCTCGCAGTCTGTTTCACTCATTGTTGAGACAAAGAATTTTTTTGTTCAGCAGTGTTGCTTTTAGGAATTAGAGGAAAGTGGTAGAATAAGGAATAAACTGAAAGTATTAAAGGTAAAAGGTAAAAGCATAAGCTGCATCTATAGGCTGATTTGAGCCCAGTTAACTGCTTTTGGTATTTACGAAGCTCACTTAGGTGGAGGTACAAGATGAACTGTTTTAGGTAAGAAATCAACTCTAATTCAATTAAAATATATAACACTAATTTTGTTCATATTTAATCTGCCTTAAAGAAACTGATGAATAATGTAGTAACTGCTATCAAAATTAATTAAATCATAAAACATAAGTGATCTTTAGCAGAGAGTGGCTTAATTCACCATCATCTACAGTAGATTATAGTAGTATAGTGACACAGCTGAATAAACTGCAGAAAGAAGCCATAGGAAGAGTTTTGTGACAGTCTCAGAGGTCTGTGTTCATTCACTGAAGCTTACTTTGGAGCTGGGACTAAACTGACCGTCTTGGGTAAGAACTAATCTGAGTCATCTGTCACAGTTTGTTAATGTGAGAGAATAAGCAATACTTGGACTCTGCTTTTAGGTGATTTTAATTAGCGGCAGTAAATGCAGGCTAGTATTCTCCCTTCAAACAGCCTTATATGGCCAGGGTTAGTTTTGTTTCAGTTGATCAGTCAGTCTTAACCTGCTCCCCATCAAACTGCTGCATCTATAAAAGAATTGGCTCTTAATGTTTAGTTTTGTTATCAAGCCTGAATTTGGACACACTTCCAGTTGTTCCAAATTGGATTCCAAATGTTTTGTTTAAAAAGACGATGTACAGCTGTTAGTGCTGAAAGCTTGAACAGTTTGTACTATAGTAGTGAATCAGTGTGGGCAACTACAACCCTGCTGACTTTGGTAGTGGCACCAAATTAACAGTCTTAGGTAAGAAAATAATATTACATGCAATAATTAATCTTTGAATTTAAAGATTCTGATGTAAAATTTTCTTTGTAAAATTTAGGCCCGTTGAAAAGTTATAATTTGAATGCAATTATGAAGTTGAGCTATAATTTTGTAGTTAAATCCAGTGCTATGAATTTGAAAGTTGGAGGATGTCTCTTTCTAGTCAAATAAGGAAGAAATTAAATAAATCAAACACAGCTGCAACTTCATATATTATTACTTAAAGAAGACTTTATTGTAGGAACCAGGTTAACAGTTCTTGGTAAGATGATAACAGGTTTAAAGAAAATCTGTGATAATAGCTGTGACTGTGGACAGTGTTTGCATGTGGCTTTTATATTTTGCATTAGAGTACTCATGGTTCATGTTTAAATTTTGTTGAGTCAAAATATCTCCATGAATACGATCAACAGCTTTAAAGAAACTGTTTTGACTTTTTATTAGAAGAGCAGATTGATCTGCTCTCAGGTCCGTACTGTAAATATGTAGCTACATCCAGGACATAGTATCTTACAACAAAGACGGAAAACTGGGGAAATGCCTAAAAACAACTTAAAAAAGTAGAAAAAAATCTTTATCATCTTGTGAGTTAGAAATCCCATTGGAAATCTGCCGATTTAACTTATCATAAAAACAGGCTCTCTTCTGTAAGGAGCATATTATATTTATTCATGAAAAGAATTTAGTCAGAATTTACATTAGAGATCTCCTGATTGAACTCATGGATTCTTTTTTTATATATACAAATAAATAAACTTAATACTGAAAAATCCATTTAAGAACTGAAAAGTGTCTCTTTAACTAAACTCCAAACCAATTCTCCAAATCTTTGCTGATTTAACATTAACGTTTCCTCTGAGTATAATTTAATAAAGTGTAAATGTCTATATTAGTCATTCAGAAAATATCTTTAAATGCTGAAATCTTTATTTCTTCATCTGAAATTTTTTATTGTAGTTGGAATAACATGCCGTCATTAATTGTTAAATTAACTAAGAAAAATCAAAGTGGCCAAGAAATATTTTGGCTGGTAAACCCCCTTGTGTAATTTTTACACTTTCAATAGAACGTATTAATGAGCAAACTTTAGAGGTACTGTAGGTGTATTTTGTTATCTTTGCATACAGCCAGGCTTGGTGCTTCAAGTCTTTTTGCTAAACTTACTAGATTACTTACTAGCTACGTATTTACTGTACAGACATTAGAGTGGTTTCAATCTTCTCCTCTAACTCTCGGCAAGAAGGCAAATAAGCGTATTTCCAAAATGTCTGACTATTCTAATAACTTGCTTCCCGCTTTGTCCCCACAGAACCGAACCTTCCTCCCAAACAGCCAACAGTGAAAGTGCTGAAACCTTCAGTGAGTGAGTGTCGGAACAGGAAAGATAATAAGCAATACAACAAGACCCTGGTGTGTGTGGCGTCTGATTTCTACCCGGACCATGTGAGTGTGTTCTGGCAGATTGATGGGGGAAATGTCACACGTGGCGTGGCGACCGACAGCTCTGCCCGGCGGGATGGTAAATACTATCGCATCACCAGCAGGCTGATGGTCCCGCTCACACAGTGGTATACACCAGAGAAGAACTTCTCCTGCACCGTCAGCTTCTTCAATGGGAACAAAACTACGTACAGTTCAAACTGGGTCAGAGGCATTGAAGGTATGTTCATTTACAACTAAGAATCTAAACATGTTGTTAATGACATGAAATATAACTGCACTGATTAAACCTTTATCTCCTTTCTTCTCCTGTCAGCACCAGGAAGAGGTAATTATAGTTTTGTGTGCACATTTACAGCTCAGAGTATGAACACTGCTGAAATACGCCACTGACTGAACTGTCACTGTTTTTTGCAGAGAGATATTTGAGGATCACGCACAACGCCAAACTGTCCTACGCTGTTTTGATTGTGAAGAGCAGTTTCTTTGGAGTCTTTGTGGTGGTGCTGCTGCTCTGTAAGCTTAAGGTTGGTCCACCATCATACTGTGTGCAGGCTACATGAGTCATTGTTCATTTCCACAATAGTAAAGTCGAGAACTGGTGCTGGGTTTGTGCTCAGGCTTTTAAAAAGATAATGTCTCCAATAGAAAGTGTTGTATTTGTCACAACAAATGGTCCTGTATGTTTTGAATTAAAGAGCTTGTGGCCAGTGTAGGTTAAGTGGTATATATAAGTGGTGTTTCTTCACTCATAAATGTTACCTGTGGATTCAGGCAGCAATTCAGTTCACCATTACAAAGTAATAGCGATAACAAATTTTGAACATGTAAATGTTTGGTTTACCTCAGTTTATATTTGCTCCCATGCACTTTTCGTGTTATTTATATATGGATATTTAATTTATGATTTTATGTCATTTTTTAGCCTGTTTCTCCCAATAATATGAGGGGGACAAATCATATTCAAGGTTTTCTAAGTTTAAGCCAAAGCATTAAAGATATCACTGAAAACCATTGGGTGTGATTAGGCCAAAGATCATTTACCAAGTCCATGAATTGTTCATATTTTTGTCAGCACTTCCCAGCAGTTATTAGCAATAATTGCTAACATCATCATTTATGACATTAATTAATCATCAAATATGACCTGGGTCCGGATAAGTAGCAGAAAATGGATTAATGAATGGATGGCCTTTTCAAAACCTGCAGATACCTTGATTTTAATCAAATCAAGTTTAAAATCATAAATGAGAAGAATCTCTTCAACAACCCAGTGAACACCTAAATCAACCAGTCAATCAGTCATCTCCAAATTTGTCCTGCAGGAACTGGTTTTTAATACTTTGTGCATAAAACATGATAATTAAGTGATCGATTTTTTAAAAATTATTATTATTATTATTATTATTATTATTATTATTATTATTATTATTATTATTATATTCTTAAGAAGGTGGAACAAGCTATGAATTTAATCTAAGTGTTTTTCCACATTTTCAACATTAAGTTGACAGTTGTGTCATATTGGAAGTGCTATGGTAATGCTACAGGTCTGACCTGGTCACCCACATACCAAAATAAATCCGGCATATGCCTGTTCTACGACCAGAATCTGGCCCATATACAACACGACTGTAAGATGCTACTGCCACATCTGGACCAATTCTTTTGCACACACATAAAATCATCTGTCAGCCAATAGCAGAGGATGACAGCTGAAATCTGCACAGATGTGGAAATATGTTGTGCCAGAAAAGTGACTAAGACTTAGTTACATGATCAAAATGTAATATTCCCAATACATTCATATCAACTAACATGATGTTTTGTGATATGAAAATGTGTCCTTCTCTGTCTGTTGCGCAGGGCTCATCTGGAAAACAGAACGACTGAGAGCCAAGCTGAACGACAAGCTGAGTCTCCAGTTTTCTGTAAATCAATTTTAAAAGCGTGTATGTTGAAGTGCATTTGCTTTCAATCAGCCAATCACATTCTGCACAAATGAGAGCAACTTGCTTGACTTAAAACCCTGTGAATCATTTAATATCCAATGTTGATTGATACTTAATGATGCCTTGTTTGTGTAAGAGCTTGCGAACTGCTTTATGCTGAATTTTCTTCTCAATAAAGGATTTCAGAAGAGATATGACATCATTATTTATTTTATTTCTGAAGCTAACACGATTTCCTGCATTCAGAACGACCTGCAACACATGTTGTTATCTCCACCTGTGAGATACTGGCCACTCAGTTGTTATTTTATGGAGGCATGGTTTTGTTTCCATACAGACACATATGCCCACATATCTGAGTCTACATGGCAGACATTACAGACTCGGTGGAAGTATTTTTAGTTGTTTCCATTTCTGTTGGTTTTGTGAGAAACTCACGTATGTTTCCATTCACTGCACTGAGCCCCAGCCCTGCAAACTGGGTCATTTAAGGGATCAAAACAGGAAGGGTGTCTCTGATTAGATCTAAACACTAAAATAAATCTACAACTGTAAAATATTTTTACATTTATCTCCTATAGATTCAAGTCAGATCTAGTTTTTCCATTCTGCACTGACTGTTTTGCAGCGATATATCATGATTGATAAACACGTTCTGTGAGCGTAAGGCTACAGCATACTCCTTTAGGCTGAAGGAGTCGATGTTTAAATGTGAGTCAACCGCTGCATGTCAACAGGGGCGTTGTGAGTGACAGCAGAGTAGAGGATGTGGTCACAGAGAAAGCTGCAGGTCGCTCTAAGTGCCGAGAAACAACGGAAGCACTGTCTTCCACTTCACCGCAACCTTTGCAAACAACACCCGCATCTGCGCAACGACCTGCTGCACCACGCAAGTCTGCAAGAAACTGCTGTTTCTGTGTCAACTGAAGCTACAGTGTGACCCAGCAGCTGCTCAGTATCATCAGCTGCAGGCTGAGAGTTAAGAATGTAACAGTTTCAATTGAGTGTTGTCACAATCTGTCCTCATTACCAGCGTGACGAAGAGGAGGAGGAGATCCGAGCATTTTACTCACTGACGCAGACTACACAGAGCCAGGAGTGGTCCTTATTTAAATCCGAAATGACGCAAACACTGCCCAATCACCACATGAGGGCAGTGTATAACAGTGAAGCTCGATCCTTTGCTCGGTTTCTTCCCCTCCCCTTCCTGCTCCACCGTCTGTTACAGGTGTTTGTTTGTTTGTTCCCCACCATGCTTGTATTATTTCAACCTACTATGTCTTTTGATAGGCCTACATCCATGTTCCCCACATAGATGGTTCCACAGTTTATTTTTCTATGGTGCAGAAAAATAACAGACTCCTGTTCACCAAACAGGGCATTTTCACCGTAACTCTCTTCCACCAGGAGATAAGAGTAACAACTCACCCCTCCCCCCACCCCACCCACCCCCCACCCAATCAGCACGCACCATTGAGTTAGTGTCTGAAATATCCTTGCTGTCAGTCAGTCACTGTGTGGTAAATCTCCCTCTAATCCTTGTTGTTCCAGTCTGTTCTGTTCAGTTTTAAAACCTATTATCTAAGAAGGGTGGAGAGGTCAAATTTGTCTTCATTGATTCATGATGTGATCAGTCCTTCCCGTCAGCATAAAAAGTGACAAAAAATATTGAAAACTGTGGTTGGAAACTCATCTACATGAAGTTCTGAGTTAGGCCTTATGCCCCGCCCGCCACCCCTGCTTGCTGCAGGTTGACAAGTGAAACAGCAGTGCTTATCCAGATGGTTAGAGGAGGAAACATTAGAGAGACTGAGCCACATGTTTGAGCCTCAGTCAGACCCAGACTCAGATGAGGAGTCTGTTGTGACCGAGGGCGAGGCTTTGGAGCAGCCTGCTGTTTTTGGTTGAGTAGAAAACAGCTGCCTAAAAAAAGCATAAACAGAGGTGAACTAGTAAAACTAAAGGTCAAAGGGTACCAGACATTACCTAGGAGTAAAAAATGCTGGTTTTTAATTAGATTTTTTTGTCACATCCTTGTGAAATAATCACACGTCTTACATGGTTGATTGGTTGGTAAAATTTTATTCAACGTTTTACAGATGCTCCTTTTCCAGTGATTGTGTTTGGGAAAAACTATTTTGTGCCACCACTGTTGTGCTGTTCCTGGGGGCTTGTCCAAGACATAGGAACTTTAGCATGTGTTAGCTTGATGCAGGGGCTGGAGGTGCAGGGAGGCAGTTAACTCCTGATATTTCCAAAGTTGTTTTATTCACATGTTCTGTATTTTTAGCTAGCTTACTAACATTAGCCAAGGATACACCTCATGTTCAGAGTTGGAGGGTGTCAGCAGCTGAGGTCTCGTCTTCTGGAGAGCTAAGTGCAGTCGCCAAGATTAATGTTGAACTAGCTGCTGGATCCCTCTTAATTGTATGGCTGCTTGTAAAACCACAATATCTTGTTCAACACGGATGTGACATACAGTATGGATGATTCGCAGTTGTTTAAAGGCACCTTTGATGAAGCTGGGCTGAGTAACAAAAGTAAAGTAGTAAGTTCTTCAAAGAACTTTCTCAGTTATCTGCATATTTTTGTTAGTTTTCTCTGATGAATTTCTGACATTTCAAAACCTCAGTTAATATGAAAAAATATTTATCCGTGACAATCTGCTGCTAGGCCTGCTGTTGGGCTTCTGTCTCTGCCTGTTTAATACTCTCCAACACACACAAATTTAATGAATGTATTCCAATCCAGCAGTAATCATCTTGACATCTGACCTTTACTATAACCCCAATAGGACTGTGTTTCTCTTTCTCTTTCCCACATCAGTCCAGCACTAATCTGCTGTGGTGTCGAGAGCCATATGGTCCTTATCAAGGGCTCTGTCTGTCTGACTGTCAGCCTGAAAAAAATAAATGTTTTAAATGCTTTTGGACATCTGACAGTCAACTATCCAGAGCCCAAACATGGGGAGCATCTTCAAGAAGCTTCATATTAAAAGTTTTTCCTACAATTTTTCATTTGACATAATGGATTACACTTTTAAAGATTTATTTTTGGGGTGAACAGTTACATACTACATAGATGCAATACGTTTTGTATTAAAAACAATACTAGATTCAAACAAAGATTTGGTTTCAAAAACTACTGAATATGGCAACCAAAAGAAAAAAACAAGTGAGAAAGAAAGAAATCTAATAGAAAACAGGTTGTGAGTGAACACATCTTGTGATTGGACGTAGCCAGCTAACATTATCATGTGATCTGCTCTTTGTGGTTGTCAAGTCAGGGAGTTCTCCACACTGTTATGCCTCCTCCTCTTCCTCTCTCTGTCTATCATACAGCCTCTCAGGAGCTCTAAGTTTGATTCTGTGACTCAGTGTCCCAGTTCTTTCCATGGTTCCTCTTCCTGTTCCTCTCAGCCATCACCAGAGCTGCCACCACAGTGACCAGCACGGTGATGGTGATGACGAGCACGGTGGCGGTCTCTGCGATGCAGAGCTGGCTGTCCACCCAGGCCAGCGAAGCCCCGGTCAGCTGCGGCGGGTCCTGGCACGTCACATTCCTGTAGTCGTCGATGTGGAGGTGGCGGACGTGCAGGATCTTACTGAAGACGCGATGCAGATCGCAGTCACAGCTCCACGGGTTTCCTGGTGAAACAACAAGGAGGGTAAATGTAGAGATGTATGAAGAAAGAGTGGTGATTGAAGGGATACCACAAAGTAAAGGTATTATTGTTTGAATACTGCAACACAGTCACTGTACTCTTCATTCTGTAATAATATCTATTTTAAAACAGCTCTTATCGTATTTTAATTATTCAGTATAACTGTTTAAATATATTGTCTGCAAATTCTATTTTCGGCAATATGTTTTAAGGTTGTCCGTTCGACTGTCCCGTTCTCTGGAATGTGATATCTCAGTAACACCTTGAGGGAACTTCTTCAACTTTGGTACATTCACTTGAACTCAATGATTAATTAATTACTAATATAGTAATAATATATATATAATACACTAATTATGACATAATTTAACACAAATGTCTAATCAGATAAAATGATGAAATTATAACTTTTTATATCCAAAAGGTCAAAGGTCAACTTCACTGTGATCATGTCTGCCATTATTCAATGCTGTAACTCAGGAAGGAGAGATTGTGCCCATATTTCCTGCAACTTGACCGGTTGGCGGAAGGATACAACCACAAGGAGGTGATTCTAGTTCTCTTTAAAGTTCTTTATCTGAAGTTCATCTACATACTGTAAGAACATACTGCTCAAAATTTATATCTTGTGCAAAAAAGGATATTGTTATTAGTAGCAGTAGTAGTATTCACTGATATGATGCGTTGGACACTGAGACTAATGAGCTAGATGCCAATTTATACCAGATCTTGTTTCATTGTTTTACAGACACTCATGGCATTAGAATAATTACCACCCTGGTCCAGACTGATTGTCATCAAATTTTATACATTCATGGTTTCCAGATGATAAATCCTACTGACTTTGGTGAGTCTCTGACTTTTCATTTCAAGCCATCATCACGTCAAAATTCAGATTTGGAAAATAATAACATACTGTCAAATAGAGTAGCGTGGTAATAGACTCTTGGGCTTGTTTACTAATATACCAGAGTGACCAGAGTGGTACCTCTTTCACTTGATGAAAGGTTTAAAACAAGATGAGCACAGGTTATAGTAGTAGTGATTGTAGACACCTGACAGCTGGATGTGTGTAGCTGTTGTATGCAGACTGATGAAGGTTTTAAACTTCAGGTGATGCAGGTTGTTTCCCTCCAGAGCCAGAACTGCCAAACTGTAGAGAGGAGCCAGAGCATCGTTGTCTATCTTAGAGATGTTGTTGTGACTCAGCTGGAGCACCTGAGAGACAGACAGACAGACAGACAGATAAATAGACAGATGGACAGAGAGACAGGTATTTAGATGGGCATACAGACAACTTGGTATTCACACATAATTATTTCAGCAGTTGCTTATGTACCTCTAGTCCAGGCAACATATCCAGGCTCCCCTGCTGCACCACAGTCAGTCTGTTGTTATGCAAGTAGAGCTGTCTGAGCCTGGAGAGGCCCCTGAACACACCGGGGCCAACCGACGCCAGCTGGTTATAACTGAGGTCCAGTTTCTCCATGTTGTCCAGATACTCCAAGCTGACCGGAGGAGGGGGAGACAGTTATGGGATGAAAACAAACCAAAACAATGAGCTTGAAGAGGCTTATAGCTCCATAAAACTCAGGGGAACTGGATTAGGGTCAACCAGTACAAGCAACTCCATATACATTATACAACAGAGGACTGAAAGAGTGCCCAGATGTGACCACATGTGCTTTGACTTTAGTTTACAGTACAGTTTTCTTCTAAGGAGTACCAAATGATCGGCAAGAAAGTGAAATAAAGGCCCAATAATATGTATGTAATATATAATATGGCATTATTATCATTATGGCAACCTCTAATTACAGCCTGTGATGTCTAATGAAGCTATCACATGTCCATGATGAAGTAATTGAAGTAATCAATGTGATGTATTACGGCATAATTTATGGAAAAGTTTCTAACTGTAGAATATTTTGGACCTGATACAGCATTTTGTTTGATTTCTAATTAGAGTAAAATTTGGTGAAATGGTGTCTAACTAATTATCTTGTTGATTTTGGATCTAGTACAGAATTATATGGGATTTCTAATTACAGCATAATTTAGGTGAAGCCTATGGTGTCTAATTAGGGTTTGTTTACTGTCTAATTAAGAACATATTATTTGTAGTTTTGTCTTTTGTTACTTCAGTTAGTAACTGTTAAAAAAATATTAATTAGCTAGATCATAACATTTTCTAATGTTGAATGAAGACGTTCTGGTATCTCATTGTCTTGTTCTCAGGTGAATGGATCAATGCAGCATCAGCAGATGTTGAACTGGAATTTTGTGAAAAATGAAAACTGAAAAAGGAAGCCAACACAGACTGCAGTTCCTTGAATGACCACTAGAGGCTGACTCCGAAAGTGAGTTATGCTTTGTGTGACAGGTGGGTGAGCATATTGCCACAAACCAGCATGCACTGCAGTCTCAGCTCCACGTACACCCCACCTCTTTGCCCACTTTTGAATTTGTGTTTAGCGTTTGGATTAGAGGAGTAAGGTGCAGGCAGGCACTGCCAAGATGGCGACGGTGGAGCGGCTCACTCTGAAATTTAAAACCACTCTTCAGAAACCTGTGGGTGATGTCACGGAGGCTACATCCATCTTTATTTACATTCTATGACTAATCATGAAGGCAGAGCTTTGGATAAAGACTGTAACAATGAGATCTTTGGAGGATGTCTGAGCTCACCTGTGTGGACAAGGTGAGCAGCTCAGATAGTGGACCAACTAAATGAATCTCCCAACTTTGTTGCTGCACTTACACAGTCTTGTTTCAAACATCAGGTCAAGAAGAAGAAAAGGGGGTATACATTTTTTCGCAACAATGAGGAGGAGGAGGAGGCTGATAGGAATATGGAGTATGATGGTGGGAGAGAGACGGACTTTGAGGGCAGACAGACAGGTACCTGTATCCAGATATATAATGTAAGTTGTTGTGCTCCAGTCGCAGCTCTCTGAGAGCCGACAGACTGGCTGAGAAGTCGACAGGGAGAGAGCTTAACTGGTTCCAACTAAGATCCAGCTTCTCCAGGAAGGACAATGAGAAAAATGCCTGTGGAGAGAGAAAGAAAACTTCTTTAAAATCTTTACTTTTTAAACTTTTCCAGTCCTTCATCCTACATCCTCACTCATTTCCTCAACCTGTTCCCTTTACCGTCTCATCACTTCAACTGCTTGCAGTGATGTCAGTTCGACTGGCATTTCAACAGCTTTCTGACAAACCTTTAAACTTTCTGATACTTCAACAGATTTTTTACTACGACTTTCTTCTCTTTCACTTCTACTGAGATCAACTGCTGTCAGTGGTTGCAGAGTCAGAAGCAGTTTTAAAAAGTTTATGAGACCTTCACAGAGCTTGTAACTGTCCGTCATACCATGTACAATGTCGCTACAGTCACCTTTTTGGTTGTGCAAAAGCAGAAGTTCACAAGCAGTAATTCAATAGTCCAACTATCTTCACTGGTTTCACTCAACAGTACCTGAAACTTCAGCTCATTGCAGTGACTAACCTTCAACTGACATGAATTTCACCTCAACACCTTTCAGTACTTCACTTCAAACCCTTTCTGAGCTTCAACTAACATTTTAAATTGTTAAGTGCTTCACCTTTAATGGTAACTCTCCTACAACATTACACCAGCATGGAATTAATATTTTACAACATTTTAACCTGTTTTCATATTCAATATTTCCTGTGTAGTTTTCCAAACAAGCAAATCAAAATTTTCTTTGGAAATTAAAAAAAAAAAATCCTCATAGTCCTGCCACCCCTCTGTTTTTACCTGTGGTTGTATTTCATGTATCTGGCTGTTTGTCATCACCAGCACTCGCAGGGACCACAGTCTGCTGAAGGCTCTGGTACCAATCTCAGTCAGGTTGTTTCCCCCCAGCTCCAGCAGCCACATGCCATGTGGGAGGCCCCTGGGAACGTGCTGGAACCCACGGGCGCGACAGTCCACCAGGTCAGCGTGCTCATAACAAATGCACTGGTGCGGACACGAGTGTGAGCACTCGACCGATGGAAAAAGCAACGGGGGTGAATAAAAGGTAAACAGAAGGAAGAGAAGAGCCAGGAAAAGAAGACACATATTTCTCCGAGGGCAGCTCATTCAGTGGAGTAGTTAAAGCGTGGAAAGATTAACGAAGCTTTGAAGTTTAATTCTACTGTTGTCTTCGTCAACCCTCACAGTCAGTGTAGACGAAACTGGAAATAAAAAAGAAAGAGTTTGTAGTTTATGTTTAGATCAATTACTGTATGTAAGTCAAACATAAAGGTTTTGTGGATCTAATGAATGTTTAAACCTGCAGTGATTCATTTTTTTAATTTCTTTTGTGTCCACTCAGGCCCTGTTCAGACCTTTACATGCATCTCAGGTGATCCAGTCACAAGTGGTCAACTCTGAGTATGGATGTGAACACACCCAAGAGGCAGTGAGGACGCACTGATGATTGAGATCCGATCACTCAGACCACATTCTGGGGTGGATCATGATTTCGGTTAAAATGAGTACTTCCTCAACATTAAATGATCTTTGTTGCCATGGTTACAATATAAACTGTTGGTTTCACATGGGAATCGAACACCATTCTCCTGTGTCATATGCCTGTTTTGTTGACCCATCCATCCACCACAACCTCCTCCTGATGCAGACTTTGTGACTCTTTGTACTACGTTACTGAACTTTTCCCTTTGCTCCTGTCATAATTACTACGACCACTAGATGAGGCCTAACAACAAAACGTAACTATGGGTCATAATAACCTGCTGCACAAACGACCTATGGGCTCGTTTTATACAGGACTGTCTCCCTTTCATGTAGTAGAAACATACATACTATCTACAATCAAATGCCAGCATTAAAAGCATTGTCACCAAATTTTCATCATTACATAACTGACTTATTTTAAATTGTTCCTATAATTGTGACACTTGTTTTTAACACGGGTTTTTCATTTGCTGTAGCCTCCTTTTCCCAGCCAAATGTAGTTACATAATCACAGCCAGAAAAGGATTAAATTCAGCAAACATCTCTGATGACACTTCTTTTTCATATTTGTACACAGTAGAAAATCAATAGTAGTTTTCAGCATTTACTTCTTATTTACTGTAAAGCAGCAACAGAATGAGTTGTTTACTTGTTCCTACTAACTCATGTTCAATATCAGTGCTAACTGATACTTTTTATAATATCTTGTCATAAAACAGTAGAGTAATTGTGTTGGCAATAAACTTTCATATCTCAAACTCTCATGTAACTGGAGAAAAATAAACTATTAGGTGTACATTTCTAAGATAAAATCTGACAATAACACACAGTGACAGTGACAAATCACACTGAGATGAAGAGTAAAATCAATATTCAAATGACACAAAAACCATTTGGTCTGATTATCTCTTCACTCACCTCTCCTGCTGATGAGGCATACAGACATCTCCATCCTGGATCACCAACTCCTTCATGTCCTCTGACTTCGCTGCACGACAGCTCTGCAAAGCTGAGATGATGGACGCAGATAGAGAAACAAAGACAGTGATGATGCTGATGCTGATGGAGACTCTTAGTGCAGTCAGCTATGTCACTAATCCTCTAATCCTCTCCAATCACCAAATGTTTCCTCTCATCCACTAAACTGTGGCAGTTCGTCTGATGTTTTCACCATGTTTTGGTTTCTGTGCCCCCCTCTCATTTCCTGTTAATACCACCAGAGAACCTTGGAGTCCCTCCATCTGTCTGTTTCGATGACTTGAATATAATATAAAGACTCTTAACAGCTTGTGAAGAATTTGTGTGTGCGTGTGTGCATTTTTCAGAGACAGACAGAATGGGAGAGCCAGATGGGCGGAGAAACAGAACCATAGCTGATTTTCACATACATACATGATGTGAGCATCAGTGTTGTCCCAGATTTACAGTTTGTATATGCTCACTGTGGGTCAAATCATGCTATGCCTGGATTTAATGAGCTCTCTCGCCAAGTGATTGGTTACTATTGTAACCATGGTGAAAAAGGTCCCCTAACCTTAATGAAGTCATGATTTTAACGTGGGCCTTGGGCCCCTCTAGCCAGAGATCATGAATGGCTTTGTTAATACAAATTTAATCAATATTTATTGAACATTATGTTTATTAATCAATATTGCATTGCGTTAAGACAAACGTGTTTTTCACATACAATTTTATAAATGATATTCACGATCCTGCTTAGAGTCATTCATGGCTGTTTTTTTTAAGCAGGCTAAGCAGTGAACTATATGGCCCTGATCACCTAACTGGTAAATTGACTGTACTTATAAAGTGCTTTTCCAGTCTTATCAACCACTCATGGTGCTTTAAAGTAGAAGCCACATTCACACTTTTTCTACACAAACAGTGCTTTTCCATCATACACAGTCATTAACACACAGATGTTACATTTGGGGTTCAGTTCAAGGAAATTTCAACATATTCACAGGAAGAGTTGGCTTAAAGAAGGGCGTTGTGTCAAAATCTTACTGCAATACCTTCTAGAGTTTGGATTAAAATGTGTTTACATGGTGCCTTTCAATTCAATTCAACTTTATTTAAATCTGAAAGGGCAATTGCATGCAGCAGCTTACAACGGATACAAGCACTATATACACTAAACATTACCATTTACTGCTTTTCTCTGTTTTGAATCGTTGCACATACCTGGGTTCTAGACTGTTGGTGAGACATAACAAGGTAATGTCACTTTGGGCTTTGACAACTTGTGTTGATGTATTTCATTATTTTCACTTTTTTTTTTTTCAGACTAAACAATTAATTCTCAGAAAAATATTTGACAGATTAATTGATATTGAAACTAGTCATTAATATTTAGCTCCCGTCCAGCTGCCCAAATACTAATAATATGGACATTATTATCTATTTTGACTACGGATCTCCATAGGCAAGAGGCGCGAGCAAAGATCCTCTCTACAGGTTTCTCTATTGTCTCCGGCGCGAGGAAAACGGCCGGAACTACGTACATCTGCGTCATCACGTTTTTCAGTGCGGAAGTAATGGTTGTTTTGGAGTGCACTTCTTGCGAATAGTGAGTGGTCAGATGCAGAATAGCAATGGAAAATGACCAGTGTTTGTATTTTTGCTGTAACATGAGGTGTTTTAAAATGACCGTGTGATGTTGACGGAGCCCGGAGAAACATCGGCGACGTGGTCCTGCTAACTTCCAGCTAACTTCTAGCTAACAGCTAGCAGAGGAAGGTATGTTGTCCAAAGTTTGACCACATGGCTGCATGAATACACCGTGACAACCAAACTGCCTTGGTTTTTTCTGTATATGGGTTAAGCTAGAGAAGTGCTTCCAGTTTACTGTCTAGCTAAGCTTTGAACTGAATCCAGTTTGAGAAATCACAGCCTTTATTCATCAATTCAATTCACTCCAATTGTATCTATCGATATAGATAAAATCAGACAAGGCATTTGACATAATTTGCATGTACGTTTCCGTAATTATCCAATGAAGCAAGTAACAGTTTTAACCCTCAAACTTGAAGTCGCCTGTTTTAGGGCTGATATAAACGTTTTGGTGAACTTTAACCCTTTAGTATAGGTCACTGGAACCTAGGCTGCGGTCGAAAAGTCAAAATAATCTCCTTTCCTGACCACTAAAAATGTGAAGGAGAATTCATAAGGACTTAGAAAAAGACAAGCGAGGATTTCCATAAGATTTGGATTGTGTCACAAACATAAAACAGGAGCTCTGTTGTTTCTACATTTATGTTGGTCTGCTGTGGTGCCTCACTTTAAATGTTGCTGCAGCAAGGAATTGTGGGATGGCATTTCTCCTTTCCTTTCGTAAAGTAAGGTCCAGTGTTTCCTAGACTAAAGGAGACACTGGACCTTCCTAAAGAAGTATTAAAGCTCCTTTACTTATCATTTAGAGAATTCAACCAGCTCTTATCATGGCTGCTGCTGAGATACTTCCAGGTCATTTATACTATACAAGCAAAAAAAGACTTTTTTGACCGCAGCCCAGTTGTCTTTCACAAGTGGGTCATAAATGATATTAGAATAATAATGAGCAAATGCTGTCTTCATAGTTTTACACAAAATAGTTATTGTAGCTATTATGAAATCTGAACAAGGATTGCAGTGAAGATTTGTGTTTATTTAACAGGTTTAATTCATTTTAAAAGTAAAAGGTAACATTTGCCCTTCAGACTATGTTTCTAGTCAGACTCAGTTCCACGTGTGGACTGAGAGAAACACTGATCACTCAGTGACGGATAGTCATAGATGCTCTTAAGCATAATTGTAATCAGTGTTTTAATAGTATCTAAAACAGCTGTTTATGTAGTGACAGTTTTTTTCTTAAGTAAATAAAATATATAGATAATACTTGTATGTAATGAAATGTAACAGACAGTTGAGGTGTGGTTCACTGAATATGCCAAAGAGAAACGACTGATGAAGATGAATGCTTACTACATGTCATTTTTGACTCACTTATGAAAAGTTGGAGTAAAAATAGAAAAATGTAATCTCCTGAAAAGGTAAAAGCAAGATAAACAAGACTTTAGAGGAAATACCTTGTATATGACATATATGTATATTTTCACAAAATTACATTTACATTACATTTATATTTACTAATTTGGCAGACACTTTTCTCCAAAGTGACTTTCGAGTGAGGGACATCACTAAAGCTTAAAAAACATGAGCTGTGTCATTTCTGAGCCACCTAAACATCTAAAGTAAATCTTCACTGTGTGCCTAGCCCCAGTTTGTGTGTCTCATCATTAACATTATGTTTTCACAGTGCTGAGCATTTGTTTTTCTGAAAGATAAAGTGATCTTAAGTGAAAAACTCCTTAATGTCATTAGCCAAAATGTATAGTTTTTTGAAGGAGCTCAAAGTCTTCAAAGACTCCTCTGTCAATGGATGAAAAAAATCTGTCTGTTGCTTCACTGAAACAAAGATGGGAGACAGAAATTACATAAGTCTTTGGTCAATTTGTATGACATGAACTGCAACTAAAGTGTTATTATAAGCTGTGTGCCATCATGGTTTCACCCTCAGAGAGAAAA